AGAGACTCGAGTCTCTCAATTTTTCAGTTTTATTCATTCAGTCTCTCTGTGAGAGACTCGAATCTCTGAATTAACAATTTTATCGTTCGAGTCTCTCATACAGAGACTGTGAGAGATCCATAAAAACACCTAGGCAATAACTGAGAGACTGTGAGAGACGCTCTCAGAGACGCTGAAAGACTGAAAGACTCTGAGAGTCTGGAGAGAGACTGAAAATTTTTGCCTAGGGATGTTTCATACTTGCCATTAAATTCTTAAAATGCTTTAATAATTAATTTATGTCATTTGACTGTAGTTTAGCAAGAAAACGGTCATTTAATTAGCGAGACCGCCTATGTATTTCATAGCGATTTTGTTATATGGTCTGTCAGACCGATTAAATACAATTGTAAAGCGCAATATGCAAGTGCGACAAATGAATAATTGGATCATTAATCTCAGTGTTCTTAGCGCTAACTGAATGTTGAAGTTATTTAATAATTTCAATTTATCATTCTGCTAGCAAATCAATATTGTGGAAAATCAAGTTAGCTACGAACTAGTGCATCACGTTTATGCAAAGTTGTCCGCCACGTTTTGTTACTAAATTTAATTGGCGTTCCAAAGTCGTTATCATAATGGTCCCAGTTGACCACGATAAAGTTAATTATGGGTTGTGAACCATTGCAGTCGAATTGTTTCGTTTTTTATTTTTCTGAATATCCAAAAGCTTTTTTCTTCTCAGAACATCATTTTTAAACATAGTAATTGAATTTAGTTTTTGTTTTGTTGAGTAATTTACGGATTCGTTTAACTTGACGTGAACATATCGATGAAAGAGAGCACGATGAACCCTTCCTGAACTTCCGGTTACTTCAAATAAGCCTTCCGTCGGTTATTACGACGAAAATTGACGTTTTAATAGCATGCGTTGTGGCGAGTTACCACGTAATACGAGAATGCAATCGTCTGCTGGACCGTCACACACTAAATCGATTTCGATCACACCCCATTAACCGCATCAAATAGAACAGATGCAACCGGACGCCACAGATCCCGTATAGAGGGTTAAAAGTCGACACTGATGAATGCCTACCCCTCTTTTTATCTCATCTATGCCTTATACAACATACCTAAGAATTCATATCACCAGCTATGATTAAAAATTCGCAAGATTTATTTATTTTTTTAGTAGTAAAGATAGTGGGATCGCCGCAGCTCTGTCAGGAACGTGTGCGGTTAGTATCCTAACTGTCACGGGTTCAAAGCCCAGACTAGGCGAAAAAAACTAAAAGACACATCAGAACCTGACGCCTTGCTACTTCAAAGTTGATATAAACATATGAATTAAACACAATAGAATGTAGGATAAACGGGAACCTATATATATAAATAAGCAAAGGGGCCATTTCTGAATTAAATTTTAACAGTAAAGCAAACTTCACACGTGAAATGAATCCAAGTCATGATAAAATGTACAAAATCCCTTAAAAGAGAAAAGAATGTAATAAAAAATAATGACTGACAGATTGGAATGATCATAAAACAAGAGTGAACATCTTTGTCCTAGTTACGTCAGGGTGTAATTTGGTAGCAGAGCCGTGGAAATTTGTTGAAAAACGTCTGCTGCAATAGAAATGGGAAGTTAGACGTCTCTTGAACCTAGACGAGGATTGAACTTCGTTGCTCGTAAAGATTTTTCCTGATGTAGTTAACTTTCATTCATTAAGACGTAAGAAGCGGGACATCGTGTCGCTTGAAAATGAGAACAAAAACCCACTGAATTTTTTTGTTCTGTTAAGACAAAACCGTGACATCAAACAACTTATTTCTTCGGCACGATTGTCTTCGAAAGCTTTCGAATAAATTGGGACGATGGAGAATAAATTGGCCCTCGTTTTATAATTCAAATGTCACCAATTCGATGCCATAAGTTACAGAGCCCAAATACGTCACTATTTCGCACCCTTGAAGTTAGAATTTACATTGATAGAATGTTTGCTATATCGGCTTGCTTTTCTAACAAAGAACTTATAAAGGATACACGGCAATACCTCTTCTATTCTCGTAGTTTTTGTCTTTTGTTTCAAAACATTTGCATACAATTCGCCGTTTCGCATGAATATTTTATGTGTCTTTGCCCCCCTTATTGTTCCCTTTTTGTGTGTTCAATAAAATTCACTCTTTTGTACGTGAAACACAGCCAAATAGAATACAAAAAAATAAGTACATTGAGACAAACCTGTATTTGGCAAACGAGTTCTCCATACGGCCAACATTTTCGTAAAGATGGTACAATTGCGAATGGTATTACAAGTAATCCAATTGCAAGATCATTACTTGCCAACGATGTAAGCAAGTACCTTGGCTAAAAAGACAAACAAATATGTTGATTATCAAAATAAAACCAAGAACAAGGACTCGAATAATCGTGGATTGTTCTTAATCATGAATATTAAGTCTTGATTTTATTATCGAGTCCGTTCACTTAGAGAATAGATCGATGTGTGTGGACTGCCACCAGAGGCTTACGGTTGGCCTATGATTGGAAACATCTGACAGTAAACGCCCGGAAATATTATGGGGACCAACTTATAACTGATATTTGTTTGTGCGCATTGTCCACGCTGTACCTTTCTCTAAGTGAACGGAAAATACTACAATTAGCAGTAAATATCGATTTGCTTGTACTTTTACAGTACAACGACCAAGACCATGATATTACTCGAATCTCTGAATTAACAATTTTATCGTTCAAGTCTCTCATACAGAGACTGTGAGAGATCCATAAAAATACCTAGGCAATAACTAAGAGACTGGAGAGAGACTGAAAACTTTGTCTAGGGTAGATACTTGTAGCCTTAACATTAAAAGAATATTTTTTCATCATATTTACTTGTGATTTTTGAGGATTGTAATTTTGTTTAGTTAATTTTGAATATGATCTCCACAGATCTTCTATGCCAAATTGGAAATGAAATTATAGAATTATTTCTGGCGATTGAACGGAGTTTTACTTTCATTTCCCCAAGATAAGGGGATAGTAAATTTGTTCAAAACAGATGATTTTTGTCACGAAACAGAACAAAAATAATATAAGATTTTAGCATTAAATTAAAGTTACGTGATACATACATCGGCAAGTAAACCATGTCGACGGGCTTCATTGCTGAATGCTTCTTTAGCCAGTATCAGCTCTCGAATAAATTGGAACCTTCCATACTGCAACGTAGTAAATGCGGATTTTCCTATGGAAACTCTTGAGCAATTAGTCGCTTCGAAATCTAATGGGGTCTTTGGCTAAAAATAAAGAAAATGTGATTCCGTTTCTGTTCATTTAACAATTTCAAAGAAAATTTACTTTATAACTCGTACGATGCCGGTGTTATTTATCTGTCTCTAAAATAAGTCATAAGAAACCAAAGTAAAAGCATTCTATGTTGTAATGATCTATGATTCCCAAAAATTTTAAAGCTATCAGGGCAGTAAAATAGTTCTCTTTCATTCATCAACAATTTGTTACTACTAAAATTAAAATTTATACACTATTTTTCCACAATTTTATTATGATCTTGTACAATTCGTAACGTTGTAGTTTATTTCGAAGTTACAAATGTTTTGTACTTAAAGTTTGACCATAAAATAAGTAAGGAGGAGTTGACCACAAAGAAGTACTTACGTCTTTGTTAGATTTATTTATTTCAATGATTTATAAAACGATTAGGTCATAACCTTTACCTTATGTGTGCAATATTTTAAATTCTGAATTTAAATTATGTTTTCTATACCTAATTAAATGTATTGCATCACTGACTTTTTTTTTTTGGTTTAGAAATTAATTGGCATGTATTTACTTTAATACGTTTATTGGATGATTTACCGTTTAGTCATTCCGTGGTCAAACTTTGACCTGTTCCCTAGTCTAATCAACAACAAATTAGTTTAAGACTACGTGTATTACATATCGTAAATTTATAACATCTGAAAATTTATTCCACAGGACTTTTGGATCTTTTTACAGTGATTTCTTTGACTTCGGGGCAGGGTAAGAGCCACCTTTAAAATTTGAAATAGTAAAGGGGGGAGAGGGCGAGTGATACATCAAATTAAAGCTTTTTTAAAGTTTTATTGAAGCAACCCTTGGCGACTAAAAGTTTATGCAACTCCTCGAGGTAGGTACCGTGGAACCACTGCGATAACGTATTGTTATGACTTCAAAAATGCGTCGAAATGCGCTAGAATGTGTAACAACGTTTTAAAGCAAATCTGCTTTATTCCCTGGCAGTTACTAGACAGCATTTTGAACATTTGGTTTACGTATTTTGATGTATTTAACTTTCTGGATAAATAAAAATGACTCCTCTTCTTTCTAAATTCTATTTTAGAATAGAGTTCATACAAAAATAAACGATTTCGTCGTCAATGGCTGCTTCATGGGACATATTTTGATATCACCATAAAACACTTCCAAAAAATAATAACTTAATGTATCAATCGATAAAATTAAATTTGAAAACTTTGGGGGTTGTTCATACTCCATCCAGGGTGTCAAGGTAGTCACCGCAATTTACAGCATAAAACCTTCCCCTTCTGTGCTAAAGTTGACGTGTTTGAGCATTTTTGCATAACTGTTTCGTTATCGATCCAATATTTTAGATTATCCATTTTCAAAGAGTTTACAATTTTTTGGACTCTCTTCAGTTAAAGAATTAGAAGGCACTCATAGAATGCCTTTTTAAGCTTCTAATACTTTTAATGGTCAATGTGAGCGACTTTCATTCATCATTTTATGTAATGTTTGATCGGTGATACTAACAAAACTTTTAACGGCAAAAATGTATTTTACATTTTACAAATACAAAATAAGTACGTTTGGAAAAGTATTTTAAATAAAATACCAAATGCTTACTCCAAAAAGTATTTACCTAAATGCAAGAAAAAAGAGAAATTTTTTATTTTGTATTTGCATTTTAAACGCAAGTATTTCAAATAAATAACATCTTTGGTTTGTACGCATATAATAATGGTCATATAGAAACAAACAAAATAACTGGGAAAACAGGAAGGAACCAATGAACAATTGTATCCAATTTATTGTATCATAACGTATGGTATCTAGGTACATTTTATAGATATTACTGGTTTGATTATAAAAAATATGCCGTTGTTACGGTTAAATGCAAAAAAAATTTTGTATATATTTTTATTAGGACGAAGGCACTTATCTCACGGGACCCTTGTAACCCTTCCACAGAACACCATTTGGGAGCCGCTGAACTAGTTTATTATTAACGCACTTAATGGATAATATAAATGTAATAGTTATGACCTTATGGGGAATATATATATAGGGAAACATTAACGAAATACTAACCGGAAAGCCTTCGAAAGCATTATCTTCGACTTTAAGTTCATCACAGCCTTGAATTTGTATAATTACTTTAGGTGATGTTACATTAACAAACGCGCCTTTGCTCGTAGTTAAAGACATGGTATTCTCCACTTTGAACCTTCGAAACGCAGGTAATGATTTGAATACCATTGGCTTGATAAGGATCTCTTTACCGCCCGTTATCGATATTTCCATCGTGACATTTGGAATGGATCCTTCGGTAAATTGGACTTTCTGTAAAATAAAAAACAAAATTAAAAACTTAAGCACAATCTACAGATTATTGTACACACATGTGTGAAGCTAGTAAATAAATCGTAATAATGGATAATTAGTGGAATTTTAAGAACATTATGTGATTAATTTCTTCTAATTACGACTTTAGAACGCAAAAGATAACTTCTACTGACTTTAACAATAAAAAAGTTTTTGTGGATGGATGTGAACGACGAAGAGAGTACCGGACGCCCGAGCACGTTAACAACAGACGAAAACACTGATGAAGTAAAGAAAATAATATTAGCCAATCGTCGAATCACCGTTAGAGAAGTTGCTGAGGACCTAAACATATCGATTAGCTCCTGTCATTCGATTTTTACCAATGATGGATCGCCGCGAAATTCATACCAAAATTGCTCAATTTCGACCAAAAACAGCATCGCGTTAACATTGCTAAAGAGCTGTTGGACTCTGTCCTCGGCTACCCAAGTTTGCTCCAGAGGGTCATAACTGGTGACGAATTATGGGTTTATGGTTATGACGTGGAAACCAAAGCTCAATTATCCCAATGGAAGCTGCCGCACGAGTCATAGCCGAAAAAAAGGTGTGAAGGTTTTGTTTACAGTTTTCTTCGATTGCAGAGGAGTAGTGCATCATGAGTTCTTGCCACAGAGTAGAACGAACAACAAGGAATATTACCTAAAAGTTATGCGCAATTTTCGCGAAGCGATCCGTCAGAAACGTCCGGATTTGTGGAAGAAGAGAAATTGGCTTTTGCACCATGATAACGTCCCTGCTCACACATCGCTGTTTGTGTACGAATTTTTGGCCAAAAGAAACATACTAATAATGCCGCAGCCACCGTATTCCTCAGATCTGGCCCCTTGTGACTTTTTCTTATTACCGAAACTGAAGGGGCCCATGAAAGGGCGACGCCACTCTACGATTGAGGAGGTAAAGACGGCATCGAAGAAGAAGCTGGACAAGAGCACAAAAAATGATTTTTTGAACTGCTTCGAGGATTGGAAAAAACGTTGGCACAAGTGTATAATATCAAGTGGGGATTACTTTAAAGGGGACAAAATAGATATTCCTGAATAAATAAATAATTTTTGAAGAAACACAAAATTGTCGATACTTTTTGAACTTCTTGCTTCTAGAACATATAGGCAATCCTCGTTTTACATACAGATATACCTATCTCATGTTTATTCAAGTTAGGTTTTTTTTTTAATTTTTCTCTCATTCTCCAAGTGATAAAATCATAAGCAAGTTTCCGCATCTTTATACAATAGTTGTATCTAGGTAAAATAATAATGGGAAGAAGATTTGAAGCATTAGTTATCGCTTTCTTTCACATTGTAGAAACTACTTCTTAATAAACACGAAGACAAAAGAAAATTATCTCACATTTCATTTGTTCCACCAAGCTGCGCGACTGCAATTAACACGTAGGTCACGTAGACAAGTCTATTGTACAATATGTCTATAGTATAGCTCATGCAATATTTATTCGCAATTATTGGAATGAACGTGAACTGAACTTTTCATACATCGAAACTCCTTATTACGATAAAACCCTTATAGTGAAAACATTACTTTAGACAAACATTAGGTGTTCGACTGATATAAACACGTTTTCACATCACTGAATTTGTAACCATGGAAAGCCCAGCAAAATCTCAAACAGATTTGTTGAAGGAAGGTGTGAAAAGATCAGAAATTATTCACCGTCTGTAAGGAGTATTTGGTGAATTTGCAGAATCCAAACGTACTATTTATCAGTGGATCGATCGTTTTAAAACTGGTAGAACATCACTAGAAGGCGATCCACGCAGTGGGCGCCCAAGCACGTCGGTAAATGAAAGAAACATTACTGTCGTCGAAAACCTACTAAAAGAAGACAGGCAAATGACTATTCGTCAAATTAGTGTGCCCCTAGGAATAGGTACACGACAAGTTCCTGACATCTTGGATGATTGTTTGGGCGTTAGCAAAGTTTCGGCGAACTTGGTGCCAAGGCCGTTGGGACCAGAACAGAAACTCAATAGTATTGATACCTATTGCCAACTTGAAGAGCTGTTAGCCCGTTGCGATGATGAATTTTGGCAACGAATAATAACGACTGACGAAACGTGGATTCCTTATTTCAATCATGAGACCAAAAGACAATCCAAAAAATTGCGCAAACCCTAAGAAGAGTCTCCATTAAAGACGCGTGCAGTTCCGTCTGTTGGAAAGGTAATGCTTAATGTATTCTGGGATTGCGAAGGGATTATTTTCATGGATTACCTAGCGAAAGATTTCTGCAATTAACGCAGAATATTATTCGAATTCAATATCCGGACCACTGCGACAGGCACTTGTCAAAAAACGACCTGTTATTGCAACAGGATAATTCAAGATTACACAACACAAGAAAAACGTTTCGTTTTGAACTATTTACGGATCTTGCACCCAGTGATTATATCTACTCCCAGATTTGAAAAAACCCTTACGGGGTGTTCGATTTAAAAGTTTAACTGACGTAAAACGTGTCATATATAGATGGAATGAGAAGACACCGAAAAAGTTCTTTGGGGACGGCTTAAAAAAAATTAGTTTATCGTTGGGATAAATGTATTCAGTTAAATGGAGATTATGTTGAAAAACTACATTGTAATACTGACGAAAATTAACAAAATAATAAAAGTTATAGCTAAATTCCCAGAACTTTGGAAACATACCCCGTATATTGCAATGCTTATTTAATATGAGCAAGACAGTACCTATCCAACAGTTGCAAAATTCCTTACTTCATTCTTTATATATGTATATTATCAAATTAATGGATTATCTACTATGGAACTGATTGCCATGAAAATAAATAAATATTTTTAACTGTTAAATGAAATTCATGTTTAATGTACCTACTACAACGCTTATAAAACTAATTTTATTCGTTCCAATGCTTATTATTTTACTATAATAATTCCTTCTGAAAACTTCACACATTTATACCGCTTATGGAAAGCAAATCATGCATACCGTATGAAGTCATAGAAATACGTGCTACATTTAAGGCATATTCCTTAGCAAACAGTTGTACCAGGTGTCATTAAACTTGGCAAGTACGGTAACCTGTAAATAAGCTTATATTCGAAGCTGATTAAATTATAGCTTTCCAACCAAGAACGAACCGGGAAAAATGGTTTCGGAAGCTGTTTTATTCATGAGATTCCGTTGAAAAGCAGACGTAAATGTTTACTCTGGCTAAATTTATAGTTTTACAACTTATATGTATCATTCACGGAATTTCTGAAAGTAATTTATTTTAAACACAATTTTGTTTTACTCACTCTGGCAAACGAGAATCTATTTTAACGGCGTAGTTAATATAGGTTAGGATACGAACATAACAACATGGCGGGCGTAAGTTGCCATATTGTGGAATTCAAAATAACAGTCTAAGGATAGTACTAGTAGGTAGTAAATAGAAATAATTATGTGCTGTATTATTAAATGTGGTTTACGTAATATATAGGTTGCGTTGCCTTTAATTCTATACGTTGAAATACCTCAGTAAGGCCTCATCTAACGCTTAAAATACTTTGGTACCGGAAAATACTCAATAGATGGCGATGCGCTGTTTGTATTTAGATATTACACCACTCGCTTTTAAGAAACTCCTTTTAACTTTTAAAGTTCTTATTAATATGGTTCGACAAGTTGAAATACCTTAGCAAGGCCTTATTTAACGCTTGAAATTCTTCAGTAGTAACAAATAACCACTAGATGGCGATACACTGCTCATTTACTGAGTTATTAAGCTTTTTGTATGTAATGCATTAGACGTTATCAAATTGAAATAAATATTAGTTATCCTCTAATATCAGTAGAGGTGATATACTGTCCATAGCTTGGTATTGTATATGCATCTAGTTGTGTTAGAGAGCAACTTCGGTTTGGTTAGTGATTTATCTGGCTGCCTATGGCGTGATGATGATAACTAATCCACGTCTGCTATGTTTGATAACTTACTAACAAATAATTATTGTTTTTTATTAAAATAGTTTTGTTCATATTCGTTATGAATAGAAAAAAATAGGTACGAATAGCAGCAGGCTGTTATTTTAATAGAAATTGCCTTTCCCTTTCATTATTTAGAATTTAATTGCCACACTAGACCCGTACACTTACTAGATAGACCTTGTTGGTACCTATTAAAACAGTTCATTGCTGGAGTACAGCTGATTACTATTAATAAATTCGTAGCCTAGGGTCTTGCACTCCACGCTACGTTTATTTATTAACTAATTGACCGTATCAAATTGAAGAGGCCCTAATTTCAAACTATCACACATCAAAACGTAATAGTGAATTTAAAATTCGCTTGAAATGTGTTTTGATTCAACCGACGCGACGTCTTCTATTGACAAGGAATTTATGTCTACTTTATATTTCCGTAAATGCTTATTAATGTTATGGCTGTTTATAAGTAAATCTATAGGTATGTTCTCAAAAATTTTCAGATGCTGAAATTGATAGATTCACTTTTTCGAAATTAAATGTAGGTACTATTTTTAACCGACTTCAAAAAAGGAGGAGGTTCTCGATTTAACTGTATTTTTTGTGTGTTTATTACGCGATTACTCCGTCAAGTATGAATTTATTTTGATGATTCTATTTTTGTTTGGTAGGTCATACTTCAGAGGTGGTCCCATACAATTTTTATTGAAAATGATTTAGTGGTTTTTGAAAAAATCAACAAAATCAAAATATATGTGCACACTAAAAATTGAAAAATAAACTTAATTTTTAGAAAGAAAAAACAAAAACCGACTTCAAGATTATACCTACATGTACAAACTGAAATAAAAAATTTGAAAATAATATTTTAATTACTTCAAAGCAAAGTGCATTACAGAACAACTGACAAACCCATTGATACTTATACATATATATTTACAATTTATAATCAATTATATTTTTATTTTAGTCGGTACCAGCCAAAGCAAAAATAACATTAATAGATA